GACACTTCTAACAAAACATTCAAAGCTAAATGTAGCTATTCAATAGGGACAACCCCCCTAGAACACACAGTGGCCTGTCTGATACTCTGTTGCAAGCTTCTCTTTATTGCAGATGGCAACCTCAATGCAGTCAATCACTATTGTACAATTTGGAAAAAGACTTGAGGCAGTTTGACCGGGACTATACATTCTTGGGTGGTGTTCTCGAGAAATCTGGCATAAGATAATTAACGATTGTGAAAATAAAAAACCATGGTGCAATTAAACCTTTTTGCAAGGTCCATGTGTTCGGAGATGAGTCTGATTTTCATGAATGTTGCAAGTAATTGATGAGCTTGCCTTAAGCTTTGGGGAGCCCAGTCAGAATAATTCAATAGTTAAAATCTAGACTAACTCAAAAATAGAACAGTGGCAGCATCAGTCACTCCAGTGAAATCTGGCAGAGGTTTGGCAGGATTGAGGGAAATCTGACTTTTTGAGAAGTGACAATAGCTATCTTTTTGTTCAAATATTTTGACTTGGCCATGAAACCATATTGATTTAGAGGATGAGTGCTAAAACTGCCAGCTCGAGACTCCTTTTTCTAAGAATAAATAGTTGAGTTTGGTTAACTGTAGAAAACTGGAAACTGGGTTACACGAAACGGCTCATAACACAGAAAAGGGCCGAGCTACCTGTATAATGCCAATGAACTATTCATAACAAATTGTGGAGTTTTGAACAAAGCACAAAGATGCCAAAGATGGAGGAAGGTCAGGAAAAACAGATTTTAGCCTGACGGAGGAATCGGAATCCAGCATTTCTTCAGAATAAGTCCAATATTTTATTTAATCTGCAGGAGCGGTTTGCACAGTCCTTATATTGCAAGTGTAACTGGCAGGGAAACGTGGTAAAAATCTCCTGAAATTGCCATAAATTTGTTGTAATGTTGGATTTTAAGCCTGATAACAACTAACCTGATGATGTCACATGCAATGTCAACAGTGGAGCAGGAAAAAGATACCAAAAAACACTTCAAGTGGGCACTTTTGGTCGACATGAGATCAACATGATTGTTAAAGCTTCATATCAGTTTATGTGTTTACAAACATTTTGGGGGGCTGTCAGCCCCCCACAAGCCTGCTAAAGTCAAAGAGTGACAGCCATACTGTTCTTCTCCCCTCATCCTCAGCAATCCATACAAGGGTCAAACGAGACTGTCTGAGCTGGCACACTCCCTAATCGGCTATTCAGCACAGACGCTGGATAATTAGATGGCTTTATGGGGGGACTCCTGGGGTGTAAGCGCTCACACAAGCACGTTTACATTTCTGACAAGCGCGGCCAGATGGGAAATGCTAACTTACCAACGACTTGGAATGATTGCCCGGCTTCAAAAATGAAAAACAGAACACCCACATACAAATGAGCATCAAGGAATCAAAGAAAACCGCTTCAATTTTCAGCTCGCCATTTTTTCTTCTGTGCCACCTCACAAACAAACAATGCATCTATAAATGCAGGAACACATTGAGAACGCACATCTGAATTCAGTTATTGTATTGCAGGATTCTTATCTAACCTAATTTATCCTAACAGGAGATTGTTTTCAAGGTAATAGGTCAAGGAGGAAATAAAAAAAGAACGTCATATATTACATGATTACTATGTTATATATTGTATATTATATGATCATATTTTATTTAATATATTATCATTTTATATATATATATATGTGTGTGTTTGTGTATGTATTGTGTGTGTATATATATTTATAAGCTCTATATCTGAGCAGGTGTGAAGTCTTCTGATATCACAGTGGAATAGAGAGCTGGTTTGGTCGGTTGCCAACAACTTTGCATGTGATGTCACACACAACGCAGGTAACTCCGAAGTGTAAACAACACACAGCCGACAGTTCAACAACTTTGGGTGCAGAGACACACCTTCCCTGTGACACGCATGCAGGATTACACCATCTGTTGTTAACTTTACTGTAATCCCTCCTCCTTTGTTTTTACCTCTGTGTCTACAGTCTCGGTCTGTCTGTGTGGTTTTAAGGTTGTGTAGAGAGGTAGAGAAAAATGTGGAAAAATGTTGGTGCCCCCACTGCTACCCTATCAACAGTCCAAGCTTGTTCACTTGATCGGATATCAGAAAAAGTCTAAATTTCCTTCTCTGTTAGCTTAATTTTGGGTTTGATGCATGTTTTTTGCATGATTGTTGACATGTCCGATTTTTGGTTTTCAAAAGGGCACTGTTTTAATGTAGTTGCAGTGTGAAGGAACCCCAAAAATTCTAAGCATGAGAGTAGTCTAGGAAGAGTAGAGACCAGCAAAGGAAAGAGACATTTATTGCCTGGCTGGAACAAAATGGGGGGAGGGGAGGCTCCCTCTGCTGGAAGACCATTTGACATCTGGGTGTTTTTGGGTGTGCGTTCAACATGGATGGGTGTTAACGGCAACATGTCTCGGTTTAGCATGTGCGTGCGTGACACGCCGGGTTCCCCCCTCGTCGGTATTTTTACGTAAACACTCATCGGTTCCAAAATAAGCTTCCTGTCATGTGAGACGGGCAGGGTCTCCTGAAGGAGCCCCTCATTACCGAGCATTAGCTGTTTATTAGCTCACATATACGAGCTTTTCGGCAAGAAAAGTGGGGATTTAGCTTTACATTGGAGCATTTGAGGGATGCGTTTCCTTGTGAATGCTGAAATATGCTTTTACAACCAAACAACTGGCTGAATGCATGTTGTTTTTACAGAGGAGATATTATTTTACAGTCAGTTTTATGTACAAACATATCAACAAGATGCTATACATTTATTTCATCTTTATCTTCAGTCAACAACTGTATATGTGGAGACTTAGATTGCATGAAAAAATGACATTTAACAAGGATGTTATGTGGGCCTGTGATGGACTGCCGGACCACAGGGGCAGACCCCCAGTCCCCCATTGACCCCATTAGGGAATAAGTAGTTACGATACCGGATGGATGGATGGATAGATGGATAGATGGATAGGATGGTATGTTTGAATTCTTTACTGGAGAGTGCAGACTGCTTAAAGAACCCGATTTAATGAGCCTGAAAACACAAATGAGCTCAGATGCACCCAATTATACCATTAACCCCTAGAATGCTCAAACGAGAGCCTTTTTCATTTAAACAAAGAAAAACAAACCCACAGACAGAAAGTATATCATTACAATTAACAATACTTGTCCTTTTCTGTCTTCTGGGGTAAGTTATACATTATTATACACACTTTATCCCATTGTTACCATCAGTCAGCACAAACAATGATGCATGATTGTTATCAATTTATATTCACCAGTTCAACCGGCATGCACAATTCTGGAAAACCGGAGTACTTGTGCAAACGTGGAAAACCTAAGACGAATAAAAAACTAAAATCCCCAGGTGAGATTAAAATCTGGAGGCTTTTAGCTGTGAAGAGGCAGTGCTAAAACACCACACCGGTGAGCAGCTGCCGCTATTGAACCGACAATGCAAGATGCTAACGAATAAACGGAAGTACTCTCACATTACTTCGCAGCTGTCTGCACTTTGATATTTAACAGGTCATCAAAGCTTTAGCCCTTAAAGCTTTAGCCAACATCCCTTTTGCAAAGCACACAGCTGTTACATACCTAAATTACTATCGGTATTTTTGCATTGACACCTCTAGCTATTAAATACTGGCTGTTATTTAATAATAAATGGCTCTCAATCTTGTCTGCTAATGCCGACCATCATGAGTTGCTAACAGGACCTCTGATTATGCCGTTTCTCTCAGGCTTCAGACCATCCTTGCACATCTGGAAAGACCTAGACCTAGTTCAAAATGCTGTTTGTTCACATCAGATCTGGCTCTAAATCCATCAAATCAAACAATCATGCTGTCAATTGGGACGGACACCTACCTCTGAGATCTTTCCTGCTCTTCTGTGATCCTCAACAGTGGCCCTAACCAAAGCTATGTTTACATTCTGCTCCTCCATTCCCTTTTCACATTTAGATGTCTTGCCATCCATATTGAAGTTCTGGCAATTAATTAATGTTAGCCAAAAATATACTGAGGATAACTGAGGAAGAAGTGACTGCTGCAGTGAGTGTTTGATTGGGAAATAGACGTGGAGATGACCAGGATGAACATGGAATTAACCCTATAATGCCAAATGTATCATATTTGATACATACGGTTTCTGAAGTCTTTTGCGTCTGACACCTTTTGCATAATTTAATGGTAAAAACTTTGCTCAAAATCCTATTGTACACAATCAGATATACCTGATAACAGGGGGCAGAAGACTACACAAAAAATAATCTTGACTTATCGCATAGTAATTACTAATAAATTATTAATATCAAAAATGTATTTCTGTTTTTTCTTTTTACATATTTTGTTAAAAGACCAAATAAGGAATTCAAACCAAAAAAAAGTAAATTTCACTTTTTTTTTGTTTGAATTCCTTATTGGAATATTATTATTATTGGATCAGGCTTTAAAGGGTTAAAGGAAAAAATGATAAAATCACCCCAAAATGTTCATACACAAAAGGCAAAAGCAACAATAAGAACATTCTTATCATTTTGGAGGGGGGCTTTCAAGCTTTAAGTATCCAAGGGGAGGATTATCGTAAAGAAACTAAGAAGGGGTCATTATTTTTTTGTGTAGACTACTCTGAAAGTTACATTTTTGTCTAGAATTGTCTAAAATTTCCCTGAAACGTGGAAGGAAAAAATAAATTGCCGGTGTAAAAAAACAAACAAAAAAACTTAATTAAACAAAATATAATGGTTGGTTAAGTGAGTGCATTTGCAGATTACATCAAATTTTATGTTCCATTTTCCTTTATAGATCTATACAAATGATGACAGAATTTAGGCTATATAACCACTGACGGGTAAAAAAAAAAAACTAAGATAGGAAGACAAAAAAAAATCGCCTCTCTCTGCAGGGCACTAAATCGTTTTTGTCTCTCTCTCGTTTTGCGCGTCCACGCGTCCCTTAAAGCGCGAGTACAGCTGTGTGCGCGCGCCCCGGCGCGGGCACGCGAACTCCAGCTCGTGTGTAGTAACCCAGGGCTCACAGTGGAGCTGTGAGCTAGACATGGCGGCGGACCCTCAGCCGGACTGGCTCTCCTGCCTTCCCTCTTCTTGGAGTTATGGGGTGACTCGGGATGGACGCATATTCTTCATCAAGTAAATGGATTTTGTGTGGATTTTTTTTTTTTACGGACGCGCACTGCTCATTATCTCCGCTTTTTTTTTTTCTCTCTCCTGTTTTTATGTTCTCTCGGGTTCTCTATTCACCCTTTTTCTCCCCCGTTTTTTTCCCTTCCACTAACAGCGAAGAAGCAAAGAGTACAACCTGGCTGCATCCTGTTACTGGGGAGGCTGTAATCACGGGCCACAGAAAAACTCCAGGTAATTAATCCCCGGGATGTGTTTGTTTTTTCCCCCCTTAAAATAAACGCGTGCGCACGCACTTAGCGCCAAAG